TCCTGCTGATGGCAATGCAAGTTTTGTATAATTAAATTCCCCTTAGAATTATGCATGTAGCACAATTGAAAGTAATTCTTATTCCTGTCAACAGCAGAAAAAGCATGATGCAAAACATAGCAAGTATTACCGACTGTTGGTAAAATACATTTCACATGTACTGCAGGGCAAAGTATATCTCACCTTTCAAACAGCCAGAAACTTGAAGTTTGGGGGAAAAGAAAAAAAATCTCCTGCCTATTCAGTCAAATTCCCAATGACATTACTGATCTCACTGACACCACTGACAGCAGCCTGACTCTGACTTAAAAAATATGATGTTAGAAGTACCAAAACATCTCAGATTATTCATACATTTTTGATACTACCATGCTTAGTTTATGATTCATTTTAAGCATTCAATTTCAGCATGATTCAGAAACAGTCACAACTGTAAGCTACTTTATACGCCAAATTTGCATGATCTGAATCACTTCCCTTCCAAGTAACACAGATAGCACAGACATCTCAGCACAGGGACTGAGGCACGCAGAGGATGTTCAGCAGCAGTATCACACCCATCAGGGACATTCACTTTGGGAAGTAAGTACAGAGCTGCTGCTTGTTTTGTGCCCAAGAGACTTAGGTGGCTCTCAAAACCCCCACAAAGCATCTGTCTTAAGCTGCAGACACCTAAGGACTTTGGCGGCATACTGGAAACATCTCCCTAGAACTTGTTGCTTTACATAAATACATAAGCATGCATGCTATACATTAATATGTGACATATGCCATCTAGATTGATATGCAGAAATAAAAATGCAATACCCAACAGCTTGGGGAACAACTGAAAATAACTGAAGAGCAAGAGAGTCTAAAAGCATTTGCATTATAAAGAGAGAAGAAGGGGAGAAAGAGGGTTGGAATTCCCCTCTCCAAGAGAATAGAAGAATGCATCTTTGTTTTAAACTGATCCAACCTGAAGATACAAATACTTATTGCCCTTGTTAATTAAAACGTGATTTTTCAGTATTAAAGACCAAGTATGTTAATAATTAAGGCACCACAGATTCACAGCTCATTGAGATAATTTCATTTTAAAATACTAATCATTTGATAACTTTTAGGTTTTTTTCTGCTATTTTAATCCACCATGCTTTACACATTTGCTGAATATCCACTGGTTTTGAAATTTAAAAAAAAAAAAACAAACAAAAAACCGTATGATCCATACAATGCTTACCTGTTTGAAATTGTAGATTTCTCCATTGTAACACAGCCACAGATATGGGAATTTCTTCACCCGGATAGGCTGCATACCATATAGCTGATCGACAACCGCAAGGCGGTGGAAACCAAAACAGCAGTTGGTGAATCCATTGACGTTCTCAAAACGAAATGCGTCAGGACCTCTGTGTGCTATCTTCATGGCACTTAGACACTGGACTGAAAGGCATTCATCGCTCCCAAAGAGGGCCCAGATACCACACATTGTGAGGCTGCTGATCTACCCGAAAGTGGAGAATCTGTTCAGTAAAGACATGAACATTGTAAGCAAGAGCTGACACCTAGAAAACACAGGTAACAAACGTAGGCTACTAATACCTTAACTGTCAAGAGGCCTCCTCAAGCGAGCAGCAGACTTTACTAACACAAGGTAAAACCCAGTTTGCCCAGAATATGATAAGCAACCTTTGGCCAGCAAGACATTAGGCTGAAGTTTACCTTTAGGTAAACACCAAGGCTGTCTATGATTTTTTTATACAGCACAAATAGAACAAATCATTACTGAGCATTGGGTATGATCTGTTGAAGTAATATCATCTCAGCAGAAATTTTAACAGTCCTTACAGTTTGCGGCCTTTCAAACCTATACAACCCTGCGGCCTATATAAAGGGGGAGACAGGCTTTTTACCACGGCCTGTAGTGACAGGACAAGGGGCACTGGTTTCGAAGTGAAAGACGGCAGGTTTAGACTGGGCTTCCCTAGCCCAATGGCAGGCCCAGATGAGAAAGGCGTGGAGGGATCAGCGCCATGCTCCCCTTGGCGTGCCTTTTCCAGCCCGGTGTCCCTGGGGATAGAGGCCTTGTAACTCTCTGAACCCTAACAGTGGAGGTGGGCTGAGGCTGGGGCCCCCATCACTTGGCCTGTAGGTCCTCAGCCCCCCTGCCAGCCGCAGCTCCAGGGACACGTGGCTGGAAAAGGCACGCCAAGGGAGCACGGCACTGCGCCAACATTGCTCCCTCCGCACCCTTCTCACCTGGACAAGCGATGGCGCTGGGGAGCTCAGCCCCAGCACATGGAGCTGGGCTTTCCCACCAGCTGGGGCGGCTTCCGGGTACTCCGCGGTCCCCGGGCC